AAGAAAGGTTTGCAGCACAAAGGGGAGGGAAAACTGTGTGAAATGTGACATTTGCCCATAAAATCAGGCTGGCCGGTGCACGACTTGCTGCATCTTGCTTGAGCATCTCCCCGTGCTGTGCAGGACCTACGTGCAGTGTCACCACTGATGGGCAGATCCCGACGACTTGGGGCCACCAGAGACAGTGCCACCACCTCGATGCCACGTGAAACATCCCGGCCCAAAACCCGGGACAAAGGCGGCTTTGAGGACCCGCGGGGCCGTGCTTGGGCGGCCACTGAAATGTGTGAAACTCGGCTCTTGTTGGGCTTCTTCCTGAAGCGGAACTGTTCTCAGAGAAACATTCCCCTCCACCGGCCCTAATGGCTTTTCTCTGTGTGCCTGCATTAATGAAGGCGAGGCCCAGCCTCATCGGAGGGAAGCCATGCAAGTAATTGCCTGAATTTTTAATTCGGGGTTATGATAGGGGAATCAAAGTCACGCTGCAGCCGCCGCGGTTCCACACCATTGAGCGCCACAATTTTCCTCTGCTTTTTGCCCTCCCCTCTGACGGACCCTGCTGGGGGCTGAGGCTGCCCCATCCTGGGCTGAGAACTCTGTGGGTGGGTCTGGGTGTGGGGTGAGCCCACATCTGGTCGTGTTCACTGGCCCTGGAAAGACCCCCTGCACCTTCCTGTGCTGTCTGCGGGCTGCCAGGCTGCACTGTCCCTTTGCCATTGTGGCCACACTCAACCCCACCTTCCCAACGGGTCAGCCACCTGTGTGTGCCACCATCCTCGTACCAGGGATGGGAACTCACAGATGGGGCATGAGCCAGGCGGTGGCACAGATGGGGGGCTACAGGTACCCAACTGGGGCTCCTTGCATTGCATGGATGGCCCCGCAGCCCCTCCAGCATCCCTCCAGCACCACTGCTTTTGTTTTCCCAGAAAACAACCCCGCCTCCCAAGCTGGTTCCAGCTCGCTTCACCTCCTCTTCGTCTTAAAATTAATAAAAAGTCTGTGGACAGGGGGCTGCTCAATAACGCAGAATGGCATGTGCAAAATGTGTGCCCCATGAGGGGGGACAGTGCTTTGGAAAGCAAAGGTGCCTCCCTGCCCTGCTCAGATCTTGGGAATCTGGTGCACTGGGTGTAGGGGGCCATGCCAACAGGGTGAGGAAAGCAGGGCTGTGCTGATGAGATGGGGATGGTAGTGCCATACCAATGGGATGGGCTGGCAGGGCTGTGCCTATGGAAGGAGGCTGGGCCCTGCTGTGCATGGCCGTGCACAGAGAGCAGCTCTGAGCCGGGGCTCCTGTTGGGGAACCATTCACACAGGTTCAGCCTCATGACCCCATGTTTGGGGTTTGGGCCACTGTTGTGGTGTTCTTTGTGCTGCGATTCCTCAGCAGATAGCATTGTTTGCTGTGACACGTAAGCCTGGTGACAATATGAGCGCTCTGGCACTGATTTCATTTGCACTGCACTGAGCTCTCCTAGCTTGCCCCGGTTTCAATGTCTTTTTATAGCCCAGCAGAACTTGTTTTCCTGTACCAGTGAACCATAACCCGAGTGTGGGCTGGGAGCTGCAGGGGACACAAGCCGGGTTTGGGATGGCTGCTTGGTCACGTTTGCACTCACCATCCCTCTGAGAGACCCCTCTCCTGGGGGTGCTCGGCCACAACACCCCCTCTGGCTCAGCCTGTGGGGAGCCCACATGGAGCCCCTGCACACTGAACGGGGGGGTCGCAGTGTGGGTTTGGGACTGTGGGTGGGTGCAGGGCGGTGCGTTCCTGTGGGCAGTGCAGGGAGACCCACATGGTGCTGCCCCCCCCAGAGCCCTGCAGCTCAGCAAAGGACAGGGGGGCAAAGGCGGATTATGAAAGTGTTTCTTTGCTTTGCTTTTGAGAAAGGAGAACTTCAAAGGGGCCATTTATCACCAGACAAAGAGAGTGGCGAGTTATTTGCAAAGTGTACGGAGAAGCATTAATTATCGGGGCGCAGGCCAGCGCTGCAGCCGGGTGTCTTCCTGCCCACCTCCCTGCAGGACTGCAGTGTCCCCAGCCCATGCCCTGTCTCCTCTCCTTGTCTCCTCTCCATCGCAGGAGGTGTGGTGGCAGCGGGTCCCTGGCTGTGTGGCTCAGCACTGTGCTGCGGCCCCTTCCCGCAGTGGCACTCAGTGCTGGGGACACAGCTGGGAACTGGGGACACTGGGGACTCTCTGGCCGAGCACCCACCCCAAAAGCTCTGTGTATGGCTTCAGAGACCACAGCGGGCAGGGGCTGGGCAGCGGGTGCACATGGTGCCCCAAGTTGGTGTTGTTGGGCTGGTGGCACAGTGGTACATGTGGCATTTCCCGATGGCTGCCACCCGCTCTGCGCTCTGCAGGCCGGCACACAGCACGGCACAGCTCTGCCTTTCATGTCTGAGCCTCCCCAAACCACAGCTTCCCCTTGCCGCCGCGCGGGGATCAAACGCGGGTCATATTTAATAAAGGTGGGGATGGGAGAAGGCTCCATAACATTACATCACCTCGGTGCGGGGGAGGCGGGGGCAGGGAGGGAATGCGAAAATCTCGGCGCGAGTGGGGGCAGAGGAGAAAACATCTCAGCGCGGGGACTTAATGGCCCTGTGCCGGTGGGAACGCTGTTGCCCACTGCCCGCAGGGTCAGGGCGGTGTGTCTGCATGCGCTCAGCCGTTAAATGAAACTGTAAGAAAAAATGAGAGGCAGATACGAAATGCGTGAAGGCGTCCATGGCAGAATTCCCCTGGTGCCGTGTGAGTCACGTCGGGGCGACCTGTGGGAGAAATCCCCGCCTGGCGGCACTGGGCACCGAGCTCAGACCCGGGGGCGCCACTCAGTGCCCCTGCAATGCATGCAGGGACGGGGGAGTGCGGCCGTGGTCCCTCTGTCCCTCTGCCCATCCACTCACACGGCGCTGGGAGCAAAGTCACCACTGCCACAACTGTGCCCGTGCCCGACCGCACCGTGCTCGGGGTTTGGGGTTCATGGCAGTGAGCAGAATGCATTCAGCCCACAAAGGCGCAGAGCTGGCGTGGGGGGGCCGGGCACGGAGGGTCGTGGTTCCCCATTCCCAGCCCCTGCGCCCTCCATGTGGGACTCAGACTGATGCTTGGACCGTGCCAGCACCTTCCTTGCTGGGAAACTTTGTGCTCCCACCCCACGGGGCGCCTGCTGCCCCCCAGCCGCGGTGAGCGCGGCCTTCTGCTGAAGGGAGTTAATGAGCTGTGCCCGACAGCGGTGGGAACGGGCAGCAGTGGGGCTCCTGACAGCTCTCAGAGGAGCTGGGTGTGGAGGAAGGGGGAAGAGCAATAGGGTGAGAGAGATGGACCAGAAAACAATATCCACTTCATTAGCCAGGTGGCTCCGAATGTGTGGAAATAGGACAAAGTCTAGGTCACCCACTGTGACAGAACATTATTATCATGCGATGCCATGAAGCCGTGCAAAGACCAAGTCAAAGCTCACTGGCCCACTTGAAAGGGACAGGGGAGCTGCCTCAGCCCAAGCTGTTCCCAGGCTGTGGTCCCACGCACGGCCCTATAGCACAGCTGAGCCACGGCCAGCAGCAGTGCGGGGTCTGCTGCGTGTGAGCCCATGTCCCAGTGATGGGAGTACGGCTGTCAGGGACCCAGCAGGCAGATATGTGGGTTTGAGAGTGGGTCAGAGGGAGAGCTCTTGGCCAGGCTGCTGGAAGCGGGGCAGGGCCCTGGGCTGGGACCCTTTTCTGCCCTTTCTTCTGTACATTGTACTAATGTAAAACCAGAACCATCACACACCTGTCTGCCAGATCCCTTCCAGGCATGCAGGGAGATTTCCTGCTCTTCAACACACTACCCAATATTTTCCTAGTGGGTACAGTGAGGGCAGAGAGTCCTGCCCCAAATGGGCTCCTACAGGGCTCAGGGTCTGCCAGGCGCTGGCGGCTGTTGGGACATTTTAGGATTCCTGGACCCTTGAGGTGGGTGGGCAGCGATGGTTCCAGGGATGCTACGCAGTCTGAACCTGGGCTGGGAGTGGTGGGCACTGAGCGCCCATTTCGGAAAGCACAGACACCCATTGTCAGGGCACGGCTGGAGGGCACTGGGCTGTGCAGTTTGCTGGGATGGGAGGTGATGGATGAAGGGTTTGGATGTTGTATTTCCCTTCCCACACCTGCCCTGCGCGATCCCAGAGCCCACCACGCTGCGTTCAGTGATGTGCTGGTGCCAGTTGTATCCCGCCTGCTTTGGTTCGGGTCAATTTGCTGATCTTTTGACTCAGGGCGTTCGCAGCAGGAGGAGAAGCACTTTCTGTTCAGGTCCCCGATGCCTTCCACTGTCCCCACCCCCGCGGTTATCAGGGCTCGACGGGCGCTTCGCGTTCCCGAGCAGCGCTACCCCCGCAGAGTCCCATTTGCCACATTGCCGCGACTCCTCCACGGAGAAGAGCCCGACCCCGAGACGGGACCCTTCCGGGACCCCGGCTGAGGACCTTCGGCCCGGCCCCGCGCAGCCCCGCGGGCTTTGTGCAGCCGGGGCTCAGCTCTCAGCGTGAGGCTCAGCCCCGAGGCAGCGCCCGGCTCCGCACTGTGCCGCTCCGAGCGGCCCCCGACGGCACTCCGCGCTCCGCGCCGGGGCCGGGCCGCTCCTCCGGAGCGCCGCAGCGCTCGGGGCCGGACCGGGCCGAACCGAACTCCGCTCCGCCGCTGCCCCGAGCGCTCCGCGCCGCTCCTCGGGGCCTCACGGCGGCCGCGGGCAAAGTCCGTCCCAGCACGGCCGATAAGGGCCGGGTGGGGGCCGGACCGCGGCGGGCGGGGACGCGGGGTTCGCTCCCGGAGGAGAGGCCCTCCCGGAGCTGATTTGCATAAGGTATAATGCCTAATGGAGGCGGTCATGGCTAGGTAGAGGGCGGCCCGCGCCCCGCACAGCCTGCCAGCCGGGGCGGAGCGGCAGGTGCCGGAGGGAGGCGGGCCGGGCCGGGCCGAGCGCGGGGAGACCCGGGAAGACCCGGGACCATGGTGTCCCAGCTGAGCGCCCTGCAGCGGGAGCTCCTGGGCGCCCTGCTCAGCTCCGGGGCTACCAAGGAGGGGCTGATCCGCGCCCTGGAGGACATGGTGCCCGCCGCCGGCTTCGGCGTCAAGCTGGAGAGCCTGCCGCTTTCCCCCGGCGGGCCGCCCGACGGCAAGCCCGGCTTCGTGCCTCTGGCCAACGGACACGGCAAGGGCAAGCTGTCCGGCGACGAGGGCTCGGAGGACGGCGACGACTTCGACACGCCGCAGATTCTCCGCGAGCTGCATGCGCTCAACACTGAGGAGGCCGTGGAGCAGCGGGCAGAAGTGGACAGGATGATCAGGTACCGGCGGAGCGCTCCGCTCCCGCGGCCCCGTGCGCCCCTCCGGGGTTCGCTCCGGGTGCGCCCGTCCCTGCGGGGCGCCGCCGCCGCCCCCTCTCTCGCACCGGGAGCAGCGCGGTGCCGGGCAGTGCCGCCGCCCCGTCGGGTGTTCGCCGCCCGCCGCGGTGGAGAGGCCGGGGGTGCCCGGGTTGCGGCCGCCCTGGGCTCGGTTCCGTCCTTCCTCCGCGCCGGGAGATAAAACATAAACTGCAGCACGTGGAGCTCGGAGTGCTATTAATTTATTTCTATAAATCATCAACAGAAAGATACACAAAGAACCGCGATTAGGGCGAGCGGAGAGGCGGGTTATTCATTGCCGGAGTTGTAAACCAGGCGGGGAGGGGGAACGAGGAAACCCCCAAACGCGGCCGCTCGGGTCCCGTCCCGTCGCGTCGCGTCCCGGGGGATGCGGCTCCGAGCCCCGTTCTGGCCGAGCCCGTCCGCTCCGTGCCGTGCGGGGCCGGGCAGAGCCGGGCCGGACCGGGTCGGGCCGTCGGGACACGGCGGAGCAGCGATTCCCCCCAACCCCGGGGCCCGCAGCGGGGCTCTGCTCCGAGCACAGGGAGGCGGTCCCCGCGTGTCCCCAGCGCCGCTCGAGTCCGTCTGTGCGGCCAGGCAGCCCAGCGCCTCCCGGGGACGGTGACATCGACGGCAGCGCGGGGGCTCGGACGGGACGCGCGGTGCGGAAAGGGACACCAGTGCGGGCCGCCCCACTGCCTGCCGCTGCGCCCCCGGGGGTGCGGGAGGGCTCTGCCCGCGTCGTAGTTCTCCCACAGGTGTTTCTGTGCAAAGTTTGCCTTCGGTGCAAACAAGAGCAGGCACATGTCCCTGAGGAGCCTTCTGCAAAGAGCTGCTGTTTGCTCTAAGAGAGCCCTTTGTACTTGGAGAGAGGCGGCCGGGGCAGGAGCGTCGGGAGCCGTCGATCTCAGCCCCTCCATGCGGCTGAGCCCCCTTTGCTCCCACCCCGCGACCCCCGGGTCCGCTCCGGGGCTGTCCCCACGGCCGCGGAGGTGCGCGGCCCCGACCTGTGCTGGGCTGCCCTGTGCGCACCTCCGTGGGCCCCAAAGGGCTCCGTGCAGGGGGAGCTCTGACCCCACCGCCCCGTGCTGGACCCCGCTGTGTGTGCAGGGAGATGCAGATTAGATAGATCCGATGGAGGGAGCCGGCTTTATAATCCATCTGTATAAATTCTTGGCATTTTTCTCGGAGGATGTGAAGCGTATTTACCTGTTTCCAAGGCTGACCCAGAGGGCGAGCGGTGGGGGCCTGGGGGACAGGGATGGGTAGTGCTGCCCGCACTCGGCCATACTGGCGGGGTGCTGAGCTTGGTGCCAGCGGTCACACGGGGCAGAGAAAGGCCGCGGGGTGAGGGCTGTAAACTGGTTTGCAGTGCCACACAGCACACCTGGGTCAATGCTTCTTTATTTCTTCCTGCGTGTAAAATCCATCCTGATGGAGGTTGGACAATTGATGAAGTTTTTATTTCGGGGACAGAACCCAAAAAATGGGTTTGTGCTGACTTGTTGAATAGAAATGTTTTCCTCTCTGGCTTTTTAGGTTCACCAAAAAGAAAAAAAAAAATAAATAGAAAAGGCGAACAAACACTCAAACGTTTCATTTTGGGTCAAGTCCAAACATTTTGTTTAACATGAAACAAAATGTTTGGGTTTGGTTTCAGGCTGTTTAACCCTTCTGAATATGGTCAAGTTGATTTGTAAAGAAAATCGTTGCTCAGAAATTCAGAGCTGAATAATTGTTTGGAAAGCACAGGTCCGGAGCGTGTTGGAAATGCTGAAATTAAAAATTCTTAAAATAATAAAGCAAAGGGAAATTTGAGTTTTTTTTACTCATTCCCACATTGATTTTTTTTTTTTTTTCCCAGCCCAAATGCTGCCAAAAATTTCATTTCAATTCCAAAATCACATCTGTAACCCAAAGTCACTCATTTTGCATTTTCATGGTGTGCACCAGAGCATTGGCTTGAGGCTCAGGCAAAACGATGCCCTTGTGTTAGCCAGGCTGCTGTCAGAACAAGCTCTGTTCCACCAGCTCGTTAGGACTCAGTAATTAGTGAGCAGGAGCAGGTGGGAGCAGGATGGGGCTCAGCTCCCGCAGCGATGCGCTCCTCCCGCCCGGGCTCAGGGTGCTCAGCTCCATCCCCACAGTGGGTCCCCCTGGCTGTGGATATTCCTTTGGACCCAAACAGCTTTGTTTCCTTGCTGCGTTTGGAACAAAAAGTAAGAAACCTATTTGTTGGGTTTTTCCCCCTTGACAGGATGAAGGATCCAAAATAACAAATGAATTGGAAAAGTGCTTGGACGGTTATTCCAAGCACAGTGTTAGAATATCTCATTCTTTGAGTGCACGACTGTGACCAGGTTCAGGTTCCACTCCGATTTCTCAGTGTTGAGCCATTTCCTTTCACCCCACGTCTGTGGGTGCTACGGGATGAGCTGTGGGGCCGGGCCACAGTGCAGGTGCGTTGGCTGCTCCATCCACCACTGTGTTGTGCCTCCATTGCAGTTTCATTGGTTCCCCAAACTGGTGCCAGGCAACAGATGGACATCAAAGTAGCGTGGATTTAAAGAAGAGCCAATTTGCACCTGGATTGATTCTGATAGAGTTGAATTCAAGTGTTGAAAAATACCGAAGACGAGCTCAAAATGATGGCGAGGGGCTCAGCTTGGGTTGGCACACAGGGCAGGAATTTTTGCCATCAAATATTAATTAGGAATAGTGGGTCTCCACCAATAATGGTGGGGTTCCATCATGGGAAAAAGCAACAACAGAGCAAAGTTAACCCTCGTTTTCCTGCACCCCCAGCGAGGACCCATGGCGGGCGGCGAAGATGATCAAGGGCTACATGCAGCAGCACAACATCCCGCAGCGCGAGGTGGTGGACGTCACCGGCCTCAACCAGTCGCACCTCTCGCAGCACCTCAACAAAGGCACCCCCATGAAGACACAGAAGCGGGCTGCCCTCTACACGTGGTACGTCCGCAAGCAGCGGGAGATCCTGCGGCGTAAGTACCGGGGAGCGGGATGGGGAGGGGGCATGGCTGCGGGAGGGGGCAGAACGCCGGGTCCCCCCCAGATTGGTTTTGTGGATCCAAGCGATTGAGGCTGCGGGAAGAGTGGGTGACAGCCCCTCTGGATTGCAGCAGTGCTGTGCGAGCTGCCCCGAGCCCACCAAAACGGCTGAATCTCTGGGAAAGCGATTAAGGATTGCACACAATTAGATCCATCTCCCACCTCTGCCCCCTTTTCCTTTCCGTTTTCTGAACGCGCTCACTTTCTGCAACTACTTGCAAAAGAAGAGAAAGAAAAGAGGGAGGAAAGGAAAAAATCGTAAATCTGTAGCAGGGTCTCATGCAACCCAAATTATTTACAATGTGGATGGCTTTGACCGTGCACCCGGAGCGGTGCTGGTGCTGCGTGCCTGGGGAGCTGCACTGTGTAAATCCCTACTGCCTGGCTTGGAGCAGTGCTTGCGTGGGGCAGGTACTGTGCTGAGCCCCTCTGGCCCCCAGCCCCAAAGGATGCAAAATCCAAAGGCAGAAAAGGGCTCAGCCCCGAGTGCCGCTGCTTTGAAGGTGCACCTGGAGATGTTAAAGCAAACAGAGCTGCTCCAGCCGTGCCCCGCGCCTTCCCCTGTTGTCACAAGGGGAAAAGCCATTATAAAAAGAGGGAGAATTCCCCTGCAAAATGGAGAATAATAAAAACTCCCATTAATCTCCCTTTATGGTCGTGGTGACAGGTGCCTGGCGGACACGGGAAGGTCACCCTGGTGTGGGGCCGGACTCTTCTGGGAGCCCCTTTGGGCACGGGGTGGGCACGGGCAGGGGACTGCGCACCTGCTGAGCTCCTTTTGGGGGCTGTGACCCCATCCTCACATGCAAAAATCCTCCTGGAACAAGCACACGCCAGCAGAGCCCGGCCATGCATGTGCACGTGCTGCATGTGCCAGCCAACAACCACCTGTGCCCACCCGCCTGCGGTGCCCACCGGGGCCGTGGGTGGGAGGGGGCCGGGGCGGGGGCTGGGGCGGGGGCTGCCGCTGCGCGTGACGGTGACTCTGAGCTCTGAGCGGCGGCTACAGGCCGGGTCACGTCTGCTCCTTTCTCTTTCAGAGTTCAACCAGACAGTCCAGGGGTGTGAAAATAGGACAGACAAAAGCAGTCAGGATCAGCTGCTGTTTCTCTTTCCAGAGTTCAATCAACAGAACCAGGGGGCTGGCCAGCTCGACGATGCCTGCGCCGAAACCCCCAGCAAGAAGATGCGCCGCAACCGCTTCAAGTGGGGGCCGGCCTCCCAGCAAATCTTGTACCAAGCCTACGACCGCCAAAAGAACCCCAGCAAGGAGGAGCGGGAGGCGCTGGTGGAGGAGTGCAACAGGTAACAGCCGCCTTGTGCCATCCTGCAGAAGCTGCATGAGATGCTGGGCTCGTGGCACACTGCCCTGGGTTTTGGAATGGTTTTGCTGAGCCACCTGCTGGCTTTGGGGTAGCTCTGGGCAGCATCCAGAGGAGAGCAAGCTCTGTGCTGTGTTTGGGATGTGGCAGGGATGTGGCCAGAATACAGCAGAGATGTGACAGGGATGCAGCTGGGATACGGTGGAGATGGAGCTGGGACGCAGTGAAGGTGCAGCAGGGATGCAGCAGAGATACAGTGGAGATGTGGCAGATATGCAGTGGAGATGCAACAGGGATGCAGAAGGGATGCAGCCATGATGCAGTGGGGATGCAGCAGCGATGCCGTGGTGTTGTAGCAATCTCACAGGGAGGTGGGATGGGTTTTATGGCATGTGTGTAGCTGGAAAGAGCAAGTGGGTGTTCAGGAAGGATTGAATGCTTTAAGCCCTGTGTTGGGAGCTTCCCATCAGCACCCTTGCTCCAGCGTGTCCCTTTGCATGCACAGGGCCGAGTGTCTGCAGCGAGGGGTGTCACCCTCCAAGGCACATGGGCTTGGCTCCAACCTGGTGACGGAGGTGCGTGTCTACAACTGGTTCGCCAACCGGCGGAAGGAGGAGGCTTTCCGCCAGAAGTTGGCCATGGACGCCTACAGCTCGGGCCAGCCCCCGCACAGCATGAACCTGCTGCTGTCCCATGGCTCCCCGCACCACAACCAGCCCAGCGCCTCACCGCCCAGCAAGATGCCAGGTGAGATGGGAACAGTGATGCTGGGCAGTGGCAATGTTGGTCGTGTTTCCAGTGAAGAAAGGGATTGTGAGCCCAATGGTCATGCTGTTGAGTCATTGACCCTGTTGATATTGTTGACAATGTTGGCATCATTTGTGCTGCAGAAAGAGGCACTTGAGGCAGTGCATGGCCGTGGTGGTGGTGGCCTCGGGGGAAAGATGGTCCATGCTGCCCATGTTGGACAAGGGACAGCAGCAAGGCTCAGCCCTTGGTGCAATTTCCCCATTGGCTGTAGGATGGGACTCCTCTCAGCAATGGAGCATTGAGACACTGCTTCCACCGCAGCTTCAATGGGTGCAGAGAGGTGCGGATGCTTTCCCACAGTGCCAGCCACGTGGCGGGGGCTGGATTTTCATCCCATCAAGGACAGATTGTTGGGCTGGGCATGTTTGTTGGTGCAGGCTGGGCTGGGCAGAGGCGTGGATATGGCGGCTCTGCCTGACGTGGAGAGTTAGGGCTAGGGGATGTGGTGCTGGGGAACTAAAGTTGGTGACACGAGTGCCTGTGGGCAGAGGGCTGCGTGGAGCCCCACGGTTGGGCTTTGCTCTGCCTGCAGTGTGCGCTGCTGGGGGATTTGAGCAGGAGATAATGATGAGAGCAGAGCTCGGACGGTAATCAGGGAGGGCCTGGCGGCATGGGGCAAGAGGCATTGTTGGGAGAACAATCCCCATTGTGCCGCTACCTGCAATCTGCACTCCAAAGCCGCCAGCCCCAGCAAACAAGAGCGGGCACTTTGAGGCGGGTGGTGAGGGGTCAGCACGGGGCCATGGGCTGCAGGCAGTGTGCCCTGACCATCCTTGTCCCAGCTTGGGGATGACATCCCAGTATTGGGACAGGGAGATGCAAAGCAACTGCTTCCCAGAAAATTCCCTACCTGGCTCATTGCAAGCCCCAGCCTCATTACAAAGAGGAATTGATAGAGGATGTCCAGGGAGTACTGTGGGGAGGGCTGGAAGATGGGGATAGAACTGTCCTGGGCACCACAAACCCCATGGTAGAGTGATGGGGTGGGAGGTCATGGAGATGCCAATGGGCGTAGAGCATACTGCCCAATGGCATGGGGACACTGGGGGCAGTGGGGACACCGGGGGCACTGGGGACACCAGGGGCAGTGGGGACACGAGGGCCGGCAGCCTGTCTCATGGTGCAGCTCTCCCTGCAGGGCTGGCCCACAGTGACCAAAATGTGACCCTGCCCCAGGAATGCCCCGCACAATGGCGGGGATGGGGTGGACGTTTGCCCTCCTGTCACCGGCTGATTGCTTACAAGGTGCCCTACAAGCACATTGTCAGCAAAATCAGCTGTTTTCTATGTTGGCCGCCGGGCTTTACAATACCGCACCAGCATGCAGCCCCGCGTTGTCATGGCGTTGTCCCCCCCGTGCATGCTTAATTGACAATTAAGCTGGGGCTTTGAACGAACCCCGCTGCCTTTGATGTGGCCCCGTCTCTCCAGCGCGCTTGCAGGCACCCCGTGAGAGCCTTTGTTTTCTTCTATTAGGGGACTGCAATTATTGGAACCGCGGGCATTTATCTCTGGGCTGCGGGGCCGTTAAGCCCCAACCTTTATTTTCCCATTGGAGCATCGGCCAGCAGGAGCCAGCCGTGGCTATAGGGCCTCTGACAGCCCATTCGTGGGGGCTTTGAGCTGGGCAGGAGTGATGGCCACGGAGGGGTCAGGAGGGCTCAGCTGCAGGAATTCTGCGCTGGTGTGCATCAGCCTTGCCAAGGAGCAGGAGATGGGCACAGTGAGGGCTGTGCGTGGGGTTCGGGGCTGGCTTAGGGGTGAGGGGCTGGGATGGAGCTCAGCCTGCACTGGAATCCATCTGTCACAGTGGTGTTTTGGGGCTGCAAGTCTCCAAAATGTCACCAGCTCCTCTGAGAGATGCTGACCCCATCCGTGCTGGGATTTGAACTGTCCTTGCACCGTGTGCGGCACTGTCTGGAGCTCTCAATGCCTTTAACAGCTTAATGACGGTGCCGGGACACTGCCCACACCCTGTGGCCTGCACAATCCCCCCAGGAAAGGAAACGATGGAGCTGAGTACGGCTCAGAGCGGGCATTGCCCCACCGTCGGGATGGGGCCAGTGCAAGCTGATGGCTGGGGACAGCGGGAGAGCTGTAAAACCGAGCATCCTGGGCGGCCCCTTGGTGCAGGGTTTTTAACTGTTTGGAGGTAAATACTCCAAGCCTATCTATCTCGGAGGTGTCTCAGACTCTGGACTTTTCCCTTCCTATAGGGGATTATCAGAGATCTCGGTTCCCTGTTTGATTTGAAGGTCACTCGGGGCTTTATCTCGTTCCTTGGTGCCATGCGGCAGACTCTGGCTTATGCCATTTTTATCTTCAAGAGCCCCGAGGACAATCAGTGCTGATGAGATTAGGGACGTGCCCCCTGCACCCCGCATACAAAAGGCCCTGCGTTGCCCCAGCCCCACTCTGACCGACAGCGCTGCGAACACTGGAGTGACCCTATGTGTATGCACATCCATAGGAACATACAGCATTTGGCATTATTTATATGTATTTTAGATATCTCTAAGCCACACATAAAAATATAAAAACTCAGCTCCACGCCCTGAGATTCTCCCTAAACTGAAAGGGCAATTTGGGTGACTTTACTCTTTTATTTTTTTTCCTTCAAGAAGAGCCTGCTAATAGCACCCTGGTCCAGAGGTACATCGCTTTCTATCTGGATCCTGCAGGCGGTTCTCTGATAGCTTGGGCTGTGCAGGTTCTGATTGCAGACCCGGTGCCAGCCGTTGTCAGATTTTACTGTTGCGCTCATTGTGCGGCCCTGTGGGTACAGTGCGCTCTTAGGAGCTTTTCCTGCTTTTATGGGGGGTAATTAGGACTTTATGGCAGCAGCAGAATGGGAGGGTCCAGTCCCAATAAACAGCTTTATAATGGACATAAACTCCGCACCTCGGTAACATGGCAAGATTAACACTTTAGGGACAATTTGAGTGGCAGACCCAAAATTGGCCCCAGGCAGGAGCGCAGCCAGGTGTGAACACTGCAGCTGGCTGTGCCTCGGGATGCTGCATGGGATGCTGCATGGGATGATCATGGGATGCTGCATGGGATGCACTGCTCTTGGGATGGGCTCTGGGAAGCTTAGGGTGCTGGCTGCAGGGTTGGGGCACAGGGTTAAGGCTATGGCAGCCGGAGCCTGCAGCTCGTCTGGAGCTGTGGGGAAGCAGTAAAGCATTTCACGGGCTGTGCAGCTTGGGGACAAACAATAGCCACGTCCCATAAACAGACTTTTATTCTATGGCTGTAGCTCCAGTTGGAAACAAACTCTTTAAGGGCGCAGGCTTGGCGGGCAGACTCATTGCTGGGGCTGGACGGGGAGAGGCCAAGGAGGAATAAATCTCGTGCTGGGGCTGCGTCACGCTGTGGAAGCACAAGAGAGTGGCGGCACAACAATTGTGCCTGGCTCTGCACGGCCGCCTGCCCTGCCGTGCCATAAAGCTGAGCTTGGGCGACCACAGAGCCCCCAGGAGGAAACTATTGTGCACAGGGTGGGCAGTGGGAGCTGGGCCGTGGGGAGAGGCTGGTCCTGGGGGCAGGGCTGGCATAGGCAAGAAAATGGCTCCATAGATAGCATCTCATGCCTGGAGGCTGCTCCAGCAGTGTGGCTGTGGCTCTCCATCTTCCATGTGGGAGCTTTGATGGGGAGTGGGTGGGAGCTCAGTGGGGATGGGGAGCAGGGAGGGATGGCACCTCCACCATGTGGGAGCGCTGGTAGATCAGCAGTAGCAACAGCATGGATCTCCTGCTGTTAACGATGTAATGTGTCATAACCCGTCCCAACACTGAGGGCACACAAATAATTATATGCATCCTGCCCCAGGAACGGAAAAAAAACAAGGTGAAATGGTTGTGACTTCCCAAAGGCCCACAGGACACGCGGGCAAAACCTTTCCCTGCCCAGCAAATGGCTGTGGCTGCAGCCCCGTGTGCCACCAACCCAAACTCTTAGGATTGCAGAGAAAAGTTTGAAGATCAGCTTTTAACATCTACTTCTTAAAGTCGAATTCGCAATGCTGGGAATCTTGGTAGAGTGTGATTCGGGACTTAAAATTGTTTTTCTTTTCTTACTGAAAGCTTCACATAATCCAAAAGAGTGTGAAGATTGCCCTGATAGTTAGCAGACATTGGTGTCCCTCCCACTGAAACACTACAGACTGTTGTTCTTAAGAGTAATGTCTCATTTGGTCCCATGTTTTTCATAACCACTTCCAGTTTCATAGCCAATCCGATCACTGTTTCATGGGCTCAGGAACTGCCATTTAATCTCCTGCCTGTGCTCCTCATCTATCTTTGAGACCACTGTGAGAAGAAAGGGCTTTTTTTTTTAATCTCCGCTCCCAGTGTTTGAATAGTGCTGCAGCGTCTCAGACCGGCAGCGGCTGAAGCACACTTTGCACGAGGCTGGGACCGCAGGGAAGAATGTGGTGACAGTGCCCTGGTTGAGTAATGTTTACCTGGCCGTCCACTCGTACCGGCAAATATCCACCTGCCAGAGGACATTCTTGTATTATCAGGGATAAAGGGGTTTGCTGGGAAATGATCAGGAACCAGACAGCGCGGGGAGATTCCTATCTGCGGGACATGTTTGACCAGCTGATGTTTGGAAAATTTGGAGGTGATTAGAGTGACTTTTTGTGCTTTTGGTGGAGGCGGCAGGGAGCCTGCTATACCTAATTCAGTCATTGTGGAGCAAAGCTCCCAGACCCAAGTTATGGCTTATTTCTTCTTCCTAGACTCAGGTTTTATGGCGGCCCTCAGAGCATCCTTGCAGAACTGGAGCCTAGGCAGTGCTGGCACCTCCTGACCAAGGCTCAGTGCAGGCTTGGGGCTCCAGTGGCACTCTTGGTGCCTGAAGAAAGGAGCCCCAAAGCCCCAGGCCCCCAGCTCGGGTCATTCTGGGGAGGGTCCCAGCGCATGGGTGATGCTCTCATGGCTTGTGTTCCCAGGAGGGATCTTGGGCTGCCACTTCGATCCCCGGGAGTTCAGTGACCCCGGTGCTGGCTGCCCATAACAAATGGCTTCTCACCGGGGCAGCCCTGTAAAAGACGCTTTTGTTTCCAGTGGGTTTCCCTCAGTTAATTATTTGTGATCTGTAGATGCCTTTCCACGACACATGGCTGATCATATGGTTATCAGCACGGGGCTATTTAGCCAAATTAAATATATTTGTATTGAAGACCCATGCTCAAGCCAGATTTCTCTCCTGGGCGGTGGCAGGCTGTGGCGTGGTTTAGCTTGGCCATTGTTCCTGCCATCACCGTGTCCTCCCGCTGTGTTAATCACACACGTGTCAAGGGCGAGCCGTGTCCATTCCCACCATGGTTTTCATAGAAACATGGGATCACCAAATCATTAAGGTTGGAAAAGACCTCCAAGATCATCTGGTCCAACCGTGAACCCATTCCCCCGAGCCCACTGACCACGTCGTGTTCTGCAGGGGTGCGGTACGGCCAGGGGGCGAGCAGCGAGGCGGCATCTTCTGGGGCCATCAGCCACCACGGCAGCGGTGCCATGGTCACCACCAGCCAGGCGGTCCTGCAGCAGGTCTCCCCAGCCGGCTTGGACCCGGGCCACGGTTTGCTCTCTCCCGACGGTAAAATGGTGAGTACACCTGGCCTATTGTGGCGGCGGCGCTGATAAGATAAGAGGGCCCAGCGGGCAAAGCAAACACGCTTTCCCCGGGTTTCACACGCGGCCCATGCTGAACAATGGGGCATTGTGGGGGTGTGGGCGCGCGCCCGTCCCCACCGCCCGCCTCAAAGGCGGCCCCACAGCCCCGGCGTGTTCCCCAAGTGCGGCCCATAAACCTGACAGAGCCCGCTCCGCTTTTATTGATTGCATGCCTTGTGAATTGAATGCGCACTGGGTGGATCACTGTTTGCTTTCCCCTGCCGATGACATGGGCATTGATAAAGCTCTCATTCATTGCTTTTCCTTAAGCCCTCCTGAGTTCTGAGCTCCGCTGGGAAGCACTTTGCTCCCAGTTGTGCCCCCAGTGCGTTGTGGCTGTGCTGGGCTATGCTGGCTGCAGTGCTCCTGGCTGAGCATGGTGCAGAAATGTGCAGGAAGGGAGGAGGATGGGATGGGATGGGATGGAAACAAGCATGGCACTCCTTGAAGCAGCTGGCACAGCATCACCATGTGGCTGGTCTGGCCACTCGGCAGCTCTTCCGGGAGGAGGTTTTCCTGCTGAAAGTGAAAGTCACACATGGCTCTTGGCACAGGATTTCACTTCCATTTTCTTAAGACAATCCTTCGGGGCCATCAGCTGCAGGTCCCCACAAGCCTGGCAGCTACACCAGGGCAAGCTGCATACTTCTTCCCACAGCCTGACTGCTTTTGTCCCCCATTTCCCTGCTTTGCCTTCCCTTCTGCCTGCCTCTCACTCATGGGGTCTCCTTGTAGCCCCCTGAGCCAAGGCACTGCTGTAGGATAGCCAAGTATCCTCAGCCATGCAAGGGAATCGTCACAGAGCAACCCCAAACCCCCTGGCACTCTCCCTCGCTGCACACCCTGCACGCACCCATTTCTCCCTCTGGGTGTGTTGAGCCTGTAACCCTGAGCCTTGAAGTCATAAAATGAGTCACGAAGGAAGGCAGCAGCAGGCACAGATGGTGTGGGGTGGGGGACGGGAGGACAAAGCGCTGCCACGAGCTCAGCGGCACAGCAATCTCAGCGCACCCTTTGCAGTTCCTTTAAGGGGCGCAGGAGTCCCCAGGAAGGGGAAGTTTTCAATGCATGGCAGGGGGCTGCTCAGAGATGCAGAGGGTTAAAGCAGCGTGCTAAAGGCACCTGCAGGCTGCAGCAGCACTGCTGAGCTCTCCGTTGCACAGCGCCGTCTGGGGCTGCTCTGCTCCTCCAGCAGCATGCAGCTCTGCCAGCTTATCTCTGATCTTTAAGCAAGGCTAGCTAGTGCTTGCAAGTTATTTAATGAAAATATGCTGTAGGCTGTGGTTTCTAGTAGGTAAACATGTGCCTTTAATGCCCCACATGAAACCAAAAGCTGCCAAGAAAATTGCTGCATCTGAAGGCAATTGGTTTTTTTGGGGGAGGAGGAGCACTATAGAGATGGTTATACTGTGTGGTGCTGCTGTGCTTTCCCATAGTCCCAGATTGTTCAGTGCTTGGTGGAGTCTTTCCTGGTCCTGCTATCTCTGGTTGACCCCATTTGGGTGCAGCACTTTTGCCCAGTTCTCCCCAAAACGTGCCATGCCACAGGTGAGCAGCATGCGCTTGCAATGAGCTGCCTGCACCACACTGCACTGCGGCGTGGCCTGGCCTTGAAGAAACATTCAAAGTGGAAAGTACTGGATAAAGAAACATGAGTCACTCCTGTGCTCTGGAATTTATTGATGCCTTTGTTTCGATTGCAATGAGGCTATCTCAGGCTCACATGGGTAAAATAAACAAGGACCGAGTGTCCAGAAGTGTCACACAAAGCCCAAAGGATGCCTTCAAAATCTGCATTGAGGTTGCTCAGTGCAGGAGGTAACACAGAGGGGTGAGGTGAGTGTGCAGCAGGTCAATAATGCAGCAATAACCAGATGCTGCCGGAATCCTGCTATTCCCAGGACCATCCCAGCACACCTCCAGTGCCTCTGCATGTGTCCGATGGTTGCACACCAGGAGCTGCCTTTGGCCACGTGCACCTGCCCCTACCAACACTGCCATCTGCATGGTGCAGCTGCAGCCCCTCAGCTGGAATTTGTTTCATAAAAGCGATGACTAAGATCACTCTGAGGTCTTTTTTTAAATTTGCTTCGCCTTCTTTTTTAAGCTTTCCCAAGTTTGTATTTCTCACTTTCCCCTACATCTGTGACAGGTGGAAGTTAATAAGTGTGAGAGTCCTCAGTTGTCCTCAGCAGCAGGAATGCGGACCTGGGCAGCAAATGGCGACTGCGTGGGACACGTCCTGTCCCCGGCGCTGTGCTCTGCTGGAGCGCTGGCAGCTGCTTCCAGGAAGGCTTCACACCGCCGCAGCTTTGCTATTTATTAACGTGATACTCAGTGCTTCCAGCCAGGGTCTGCAGCTTAGGGGTGCTCCACTGGAAGGTGCTGGTGTGCGTGCAGCTTGTCATCTCCTGGGGGGCTTTTTCTGTTCCCTCTGCCGCTGTTTTTGGTGTCGGTGTGGCCGGGAGTGTCGTGTGCCTGATGGCCGCTGTCTGCTTTGCTCCCTGCAGATCTCTGTGTCGGGTGGTGGGCTGCCGCCAGTGAGCACCCTGACCAACATCCACAGCTTGTCCCACCACAACCCGCAGCAGTCCCAGAACCTCATCATGACGCCGCTCTCAGGAGTCATGGCTATTGCACAGAGTAAGTGTGAAATGGGAGCATATCTGGACCCCAATCTCTGGACCCCAACCTGCAGATGCCAGCCCCAGTGCTGACACCCTGCTGCTCTCTCTCCCTTCTCCCAGGTCTGAACACCTCACAGGCGCAGAGCGTCCCTGTCATCAACAGCGTGGCCGGCAGCTTGGCGGCCCTGCAGCCGGTGCAGTTCTCGCAGCAGCTGCACAGCCCACACCAGCAGCCACTCATGCAGCAGTCGCCCAGCCACATGGCCCAGCAGCCCTTCATGGCCACCGTCACCCAGCTGCAGAACTCGCACAGTAAGGGGCTGAGGGGAACACCTGGGAAATTAACTCCTATGGGAAAGTGACTTCTGCTCTGCTGCTGTGCCACCCGTGGTGCTCCCTGTCTGGCTTTGTGCAAGGATTTTTTTCCTTGTGGGTTATTATTGTCACATATTGCTTATTGCTCTTGCCTTGGCCACCACTGGCCCTAGTGGTCAGAAAAAGCAAAAGCTTCCCCATCGTGCCAGAGGCACATGGTGATTTCCTTCCATTTCTTTTATTGTATTCCTGTCTGCACAGTATCCATCCCCACAGCTGTGTGTGTAGCGTGCTATCTGCCTGCCTTGCTCCTGCACAAAGGCTGTGGGTGACGTTGTTTTTCTCTCCACAGTGTATGCACACAAGCAGGAGCCCCCCCAGTATTCCCACACCTCCCGCTTCCCCTCGGCGATGGTGGTGACAGACACCAGCAGCATCAGCACGCTCACCAACATGTCTTCCAGCAAGCAGGTAATGATTGAGCACTGGCAGCAGGATTGGGGTGTGCTGGTGTAATTTGGAGTGTTTGCCCAATGGCTCAAGCCCTGGGGCTGAACCAACCCCTCCAGCACTGGAAACCGAGCCCTGAAAACCCAGCCTCAGCCCCTGCATGGGCTCTGAAAAACCTGCTCATGGATGGCAACCACAATGGGGACCTGGGCAATGAGTGGCCGTGCCGGATGCTGAGTGCTGGGGTTTGGCCAAGCACCGTGCAGCGAGCAGCTCTGGTCCCTTCATGGCTGGTGAGCGGTGCTGGGGCAGCTCTGCAGATGGCCTCAACCCCACCTTTATCTGCCCCGTGTTGGTGTAAGACATATCCCAGCTTGAATCAGCTGCACAAGGCCTTACTCAGACAATAGCCCCTTTCTAAATGCCAGCTCTGGGGACTGTGGGAAATATGCGGCCCTTATTGATTGCTAGATAAATATGAGAGAGCCTTGAACTTGTATCCAGATAAACTCTCTTACCAACCTTAGACAGCAGAGGGGAAAAAAAATGTCTGCAATGACCACAGAGTAAATACGGCGTGGGATTGCTGTGGGACTTCCGCACGGATGCCTGGCACTGTGTTGCTGGGGGCAAGGAAGGGGCTGGGGTTGGGGTGGGGATGGTGGAGGCCCCGGGGCTGAACCAAGGGGGAAGGCAGAGCACCTCTGCTCGGCCCGACTCAGCTCACTTTGGGCTCCCTCTGCTCTGCGCCCAGCAGTGCAGGAGCGTTCAGGCGCGGCCGCGCTCTCAGGAGCGCCATTTCCTCTGCACGGCTTTATCGGCCCATCTGCTGTGCGCTCAGCCCGAACTGCCCCTGATTAATTGTGCTCTCCTGCCACGGGTTGGCTTTGATGCCGGCTTGCCAAAACGAGCCCGGCACACACAGGAAATGTCCCTCATGTGGGAATAGCAGCCGGCCATCCCTGCCACGGGGCCGCAGCCTGCAGGCCCCACGCTCGGGATGGGCAGCGCTCCCTTTCTTCCCCCCATCGTGCTTTAATCAAAGCAGAGAAGGGGGAGATGTGGCTGTTTTTGGGGGCTGGAAGGGACACGCAGCTCCCGGTTCCTCTGACAATGCTCGAGGCCGAGCCACCATGTTTATTACGTTAGCAAACACCTGATAGCTGCGGCCCGTCCCTAATGACATGTCACGGGAGGCTCCTGGCGTCTCCTTATCTCCGTGTTACGATGTTTGCTGTGCGCTCCAGCCCACAAGGTCACCCCCGGCTGCCAGCCCCCACCCCAGCGGTGACCGGGGGACCCTGGAGGGGCTGGGGATGGAGCTGTGGTGGCATTGATGAAGCCACAGGGACCAGCCCGTCCATTTCGGAGGTGACAGCAGCACTGGGGACAGCCACTGCTGTCCAGCTGACCAGCACAAACTCCTTGGAACAACTCCTGCAATAGGCCCTCTTTTATTGAAAAAAAAAAAAAAAAAGATATTTTTGTATGGTTGCAATATCTGGCTCAGAACGTGCTTTCCCTCTGGGGTTGCAGAGGGCTTAGGGCTTGGGGTGCGAGAGGAGATGACCTGGGGAGCCCCGGCCCACCGCTCACCATGCTGCTCTCTCCCTTTCCAGTGTCCCCTGCAAGCCTGGTGATGCTTCACACCTCGCTGCCTTTGCACATAGCAACAGGAACTTATTTTCCACAACATCCCGCTGGTGACCCGCACGTCGAGCCAGAGCGAAGCTCAGAGCCGCAGCGAGGTGCTCATTACCCCGACGGGCGGCCAGTGCAACCCCGCGCTGGGGATCAGCCCCGACCCGAGCCGTGGGACCGCGCCTCTCCTCCCCTCCACGCAGTATTTCCGAGACGTGTCCTGAGGATTGTTTTTTTCCTAAGTATTTGCCTTCCAAGAGGCCATTGGCTCTCCCGAGGAAATAGGAACAAGCTGTACCGAGACGTGGCAGAAGATGGATCGTATTTAAGTTATACTCCTCCACCTGATGGACTGAGAGGGACCCGGGTCTGTTACTTGGCTTTTGGAAGGAGGAATCTCGTGCTGTTGAACTGAGCCAGTTAAACTGTAAATATAGGTACAGTCTGCTCCACCCTCACCCATCCCCGCTCCTATACATAGAGATTTATATAAAAGAAGTAAATTTTGTCCAATTGATGTAAACTATTGTAATTAAGTGCAATTCCCCCATCTGTATATATTGTTCCTGCTTTTCTTCTCTCCCTCAGTCTTATTTTTTATTTTTTGGTAAAGGTCAGAGCTCTGCATGGTTTTGGTTTTGTATTTTCTTTCTTCCCTTAATGGAGTTAATTAACAAAGAAAGCCCTGTGCCTCTGCAGAGACACCAGCCCTGCTCCCTGCCTCACAGAGGGACAGGCACCGAGCTGAGCCTCAGCAGCTGGCCCCAGGACTGGGTGACACAAGGAGTTCAGGGGGCTCTCCTGTGTTTGGGGACACGGAGTGGGGCTGCCGTGGGGTGGGTCACTCCACAGCCAGTGCATGTCCCAGCCTAGCACCCAGTGGGGCACTGCGCTGTGCACTGCCAGAGCCTTGCCTGCTGCTTCTACCCGAGTCTGACTTCCCAAAGCTGTGAAAGGCATCGTCTCGCCTGCTGTGGGACATGAGCTCCTCCATACCCACATCCCTTTGGAAATGGATCTAATGCTCTTCAGTTGTTTAATTTTTTCTTAAACTTTGTCATGTGTGCCAAATGCTGAGAGTGCTTTAAAGAAGTGAAGAGCAGTGGAGGTGCCTGTGGGCAGTCAGCCACTGCTCAGAAGAACACTGGATGCTTTTTCTGGGGCAAGAAATGCTATTTTATTGTGTATTTGTACAATAACCATTGCCAGGACGATAGGAGCAACCCTATGGGGAATAAGTCATTGTGAATCGGAGACTGATATTCAAATCACATTTAATTTAATGTATACCATAATTAAAAACCATTTTTTCAGACTCGTTGCTACCATGTGATCTTTGATTCCTGCTGCAGCTGAGAGTGCTGCTGGGGTGCAGTAGGGATGTGGGGCCTGGGGGGCTTCATCTGTTCAATGTGGGTGCTGAGGGAGGGGCTTTCAGAGCATTGATCTGGTGTTCACATTTAGGGCCAGAGCACCCCAGTCAAAACCCTCCTGTGTAGTTTCTGTAATTTTTTACTGCCCTAGACAAGAACTGGAAGAGGATGGGAGGCATGAAGACTACTTGTTCCCTTTCACAGAGATTCAGAAGCAACATGCTCCCAGCAAAAACTGGGAGAAAAGATGCATGCTTGAAGCAGAAGAGATCCGCTGCCCCTCCCTGCTCAGCAATGCCCTTTCAGTGCAGCTCAGCCAACCTTCTCAATCAGCTCAGATTCTGCACTCAGACATTGCCTGGGCTCAGTTCCCAGCAGGTCGGGGTGGGAACAGTTTGGATTCTCTTGCTGTTGCCAACTGGTGCTCTGCTCCCCGAGTGGCTCATCAAGGCGGAGGAGTGAATGTTCCCCAGCTGGTGCACATCCAGTGTCAGGCTGACTTTGTCCACAGAAGAATGGGTAACCCAATGGGAAGGAAGGAGGGAAATAGGCACTACATAGGCACTACGTAAAGCATTGCTTGCAAAGTGGCCCAGTATCAGCACTGCTCTCCAGAATGCCACACACAGAAGGTGAGTGCAAACCCTGGGGAGGTGCAGCCCCACGGGAGAAGGTCGGGGAGGTCAGGGGAGGGACCAAGCCCAAGGGAAATGGGAAATGGGCACAGGACACAACTGAACAAAGGCATGGGCAGAGAAGGCAGCAAGTGTAGAGCAAAGAATGTGTGATAAAGAAGGCAGGACAAAATTGATAATATGAACAGAACTAATGATTAAGAAGGGAAAGTGTTTACCCAATAGGTGTGAATGCATGAAGCTGCCAAAAAGCTGCTTGTGTGCTGTCAGTTCTGGGTACCGGAGGGCCTGGAGGAAGAAAGCATAGCTGCTTGCTTCTTTTGCTAATGGGCATTTTGTGTCTGGTGATGCAGTTGTCATACAGCAGGGACACCTGGCAGAAACATGACAAAGCCCGTTTATGACCAATACTGTTTTACAAGGCTGAGTGATAATTCCACAGTTCAAAGATGTTTTGCAGGGGAATTCCTGCACATGAGGATCCGTGGGCTGTCACGAAACTTTAAAGGGCCGCCTTTATATCCACAACAACTGCCACCTCTTTCTTGGCAGAGCAAAGCCATATCACCGCATTTAACTTAAAATGCAGATGCAGATACAAAGGAAACCTCCTAGATCCCAGCATTACCCAAAAGGCCTCTGGATGGACACTGGAATAGAGACAAGCTATTTCAGCAGCGTCAGAATTGCTGCTTGTAGTAGAAACACCAAGTTGCACAAGAGTGCCCAGCTTCAAACATGCAGCGTTTCCAGACCGGCTCTGCCAGTCTGGTGAGGTGGCTGCACGCGCTGAAAATTTGGGCAGAAAACTTCAGGGCTGTGCTCCCTGGTGCTTCCTTCCTGTGTGACACTGGGAAGAAAGCATCATTGCTGCCCTGTGGATGGCACATGGGCCACCCTTTAGAGGCTGTGGGCAGGTTTGGTTGGGCTGGAGCTTGCCCAGCACACAGGTTTGCGCTGTGGTGATGGGCTCAGCAGAGCTGGCCTGGAGTTCTGACCCAGGCAGTTATTTTTCCAGTCCAGGGATTAAACTTACAAGATAAAAACCTTGCACAGACACTGCAGAGCTGTCCCAGCCCAGTGTTCGTGTTCATGCAAAGATGTACAAATCACAAGCCTCAGTTTTATATTCTCATTCCAGGAACTTTGACTTTCTTTGTATATCATGCAAAATTAATTCCCCTTTCTGTAATTAATATACTGCTTCAAATGAATTCTTAATTACAGATAAATCACAAATCCACACACTCAACTGTTAAGCTTTTCAAGTAATAAAAGAGATCATTTGTCTTCTTCAGATGAACAGAGACCAACTAGCACACCATTTCCCCTTTTATGAAGAATTCATTTGCCTTAGAAAGAAAGCCTTTAAAAAAAACATTGCAAGGATTTCTTGAATGGGGGATCAAAGCTCTCACACTGCTGGAAACCATTTTTGCTAAATAAGATTGAAGAAAAAAAGTAAAAGTTTTTTGGTAGTGTTTGGGATAACAGCACCCTCGGGAGGGACAAGGACATGGGGTCAAGAAGTTGTGACCAGGTTAGCAACACAGGGAACAGAAGGAGGGGACAAAAGAACAGAAAGTGGAAATGGACAGATGAATGAGGAAGCATGTTCCCTTGCCAAAAGAGAATAGATGCGACATCAATTCATACTGGGAGCTGGAGGACGAGGGCCTGTTAATGGATTGAGGGACACAGCAGGGATCAGAGGTCATGAGTGCGCTCAGCCAGGCTAATTGACTGTTATGTGCATATTAGTGATGATAATTTAGTAGGATAGTGGGATGTGGGGAGCAGATATGCAGAAGTGCCATTGATGAATGTGTTCCTACATGGGCTAAAAAAAAGCATACCAAATAAAAAAAAGATACTGGCTTTCCCTGGGAGTGGATCCCACAGCTATAGGTGAACATCCCTGATCTGATTGTGCATGAACTAAATCTGTTCACCACATTTGCTTTGCAATTGTGCAGGTTTTTACCTTAGCTCCACCTGTGGGACGTGGCCCTGACTAATGTTGAGGGGAAATGCCCAGCAGACCCGTGGGGTCCCAGCCCAGCTCCCTGCTAGCAGCTTCAGGCTCCTGTTCTCCCATCCTGCAGCAGCCTCATGCATGAGACAGACATAGGATCACTTTTGAGGGTCAGGTGCATCTTTGAGCTGAGTTCTGTGGAACTAAGATCGAGGCCAGCAAGCTCTCCTAAGATATGATTGCCCTGCACAAGATATGATTGGAGAGCACAAACCCTCAAATCACTTCAGGGCTGAGCACCCCCATGCACCCCACATACACTGTCAAACCTCAGCTGGTCATCTGCTGTCAGCACTGACTTGGCAATTAGTGTCGAGTAATTGATAGAGAAGCACCAGGGAAGCAAAGCTAAACCTGATGCTTTCACAACAGCAATTTTGCTTTGCGTTCATTCAGGTTGTTTCAATTTCACATTTTAATTTCTCTTTTTCTGCACCAGCAGGTGGGAGCAAGCTCCAGTTCTGCTCCCTCCAAAGTCCCATCTCAGTGCAGAGCTCCTTTGCCTGGTCACAAAGGCACTTCCCAGCCAATTGATGAAGAGAGTAGTTCCCATTTCCTCACTCTTGAATCTGCTGACAGCATCTCTTGGGGAGTGATGGATACTGGAGATGATTTATAGATCTTTGTTACACAAATTCCTCCACATTCTTCCTTGTCCTTACACAGCAACCATCAGCCACCTCTCCCAACAGAAAAGCAAGAGCTTCAGCCTGGGATCAGCACGAAGGACGCTCCTTTGGGTCTCTCTCCTGCACTGCTTTACTCTCTGTGCACACAGCAGCAGTTGCAAGTGGAGATGGGCACCAAGGAGGGACACAGTGGTGTGCAGTACCCACCCACTCATGGTTTCTGCACAGCTGCTTTCATCCCTCTGCTGGGAAGTCAAAAGGTTGGCCAAAAAAAAAAAAAAAAAAAAAGTGCTATAAATCAGGCAGATATGGGCTGTGGGGAGGATCTTGTTAATGCAATTTTTCATCTCAAAGCTTGTAATTAAAGTAATGAATGTTGCAGGAGGAACAGCCATTGCCTGGATGTTCTGGGGCTCTCAGACTTCAGTGATGTAGATGTTTGGCCCTTGAGAATTTTATTATGTGAAATAGTTTTTGTAATGCTGATATTACGTTGCTTAATGGGATTTGCTTGTTCTACCTCAAGCACACAAGGAAAGATAACTGTATAATTTGATCTGATACAAAGTACAAGGAGACTTACTTTTACTACTGTGTCTCACAGCTTATCATAATGAATAATTACATTAATTAGACAAGTTCTGATTTTTCTCTGATTGTCCTGAACAGCAGAACACAGTTGCTCTGTGCTCCTGTTTTGCTTCTAAAATAATTATTTAAGCACAGTTGCATATAGGTGAGGTGAAACTATTTCAGTGTGCATCAAAGATTAAACAAACTCTGCCTATGCCTGACTTTGAGGTAGGTATCACTGGAACTGCTACACTGCTTCATGCCAAATGTATGTGGGAATCTATGTCAGTGTGAGTCTTAAAACCAAGAGCACAGTGCAGTATTCCTGGCTGCAATGGATTTGACTCAGGCCAAGAGAGAACACACTCAATCTTTCACACAGCAAGGCAGAGCCACTTGTTGCAGATCACAAAGGGACTTCCTAGACAATTGATGAAGACAGTGTAAAAGCAGGGATGATCCTGACAATGAGAAGATGAGAACTAATAAACCACTGGGTTTTCTCCTCAGAAATACATAGGGCCCAAGTTTGCAGCTGTGAGAGCAGTGTTGGTGCCTGGTGGACCGATGGTGTCTCTCTGTCATTGATAGAAGAGCAGTTTGCCCACCAGCCCTTTGAGACCAGCTAATGATACTGTAAATCATGACAGCACAGACATGCGCGAACAAAAACTTCTCACAAAAGCTTTTGTCCCTTCATTTAAATGAGCTGCTCCTTTAAAACAGGCGCAGCAGTCAGTGTAATTAACTCACCATCAGAAATACACAAAAGGACAAAGTGCTGTGATGAGCCTATAAAGATGTAGAACAGTTTTACAGCTCACACTCCAGATTTGATATTTCTGATTCATTTGGATTTCATGCAGATGACCTCAGCCTCAAGGCTGAGTAACGCTTAAAACTTGTTCAGGAACCAAATCTACCACTTCTCACAGCTTTCCTCCTCCGCCCTCTCACCCAAAGCTGTGTTCTGATTGCAAACAGACGGAAACTGGGCATATGGCTGGATCCCACCTTCTACTATGAAAGACAGACGCTTGTGGGGTGCTCTCCAGCTCCCCCAATCTACGAAACCTTCTGGTATCGTTCATAAACGGAACGTGAGAGTCACGGAGAGGGGAGTAACGACCCCCGCCGTGCTGCGGCTCGGCGCGATCCGGTCCTCCGGCACCATTCAAGTTCTCCAAGGGCTCAGCTCCGGCCGGCCCACAGCCGTACAGGCGGCCCCGGCTCCGAGCTGCGCTGCGCTGACAAAAGGCAGTACAACCGTAGCGCGGTTGCCATGACAGCGGGCCGCCGCTCCAGCCCCGCCCCCGCGCTCCCGGAAGTGCATTCTGCTTCCGGCGTTCTGCTTCCGGTGTGCCGCGGGGAGAATCGGGAGCCGGTGGCAGCATGGAGGCACAGGAGCTGTTTCGCCGCTTGGGCGCCGGGGCCCGTTTCGATGTGCGGCGCTTCGGGCGGGACGCGCGGCGCTTCGGGGTGCGGAGCTACTGGGGGGGGAGATCTGGGCGGGGCCCGAGGCGGCTCAGCGGGGCTCCGTCCCCTTCCCCGTCCCCGTCCCCGTCCCCTTCCCCGTCCGCTCGATGGAGCCCCACGCGCACCCGCGGCCTTGTGGCGGCGCTCGGGATCCTCAGCGGGTCTCTCCGGGTTTGTCACCCTGTGCCTCGTTACCTCCTCCAGGTGATCCGGGGAAGTGGCGGCACACCGGAGAACCTCGACTTCTTCGGGCGTAAGCAGGGAGCCTCACTGGGGTCCGCGGAGAAGCAGGAGGATGGAGCAGGAAGAAAGGATGTGGAGATGTCAGGGAAGAGAAAAAGGACGGCAGAAAGTGGTAAAAGGAAAAGAAAAAAGATACAAGGTATCTGTGTATACATGTATGCCATAGAGTATCCTGACAAAGTTCATTCTTCTTGCTTCGGTTTGCATTAAATGTGCAGATACTGTGGATCACTTGAGTGGGAAAAAAGGGGTCTCTGGCTTCTTTGGCTGCACAACGTTAGAGCTGATAGAACAGCTCCGTTGTGATTCAGTAATGAGGTTTTGGAATGTAATTGGTGTCTTCGTTCCATTCAGTGGCAATGAGACAAAAAAGGTTTTGAGATGTCCTTTTTGCTTGGATTTTACCAATGGAAGCTTTGTTTTTTTGAAACTTCCAGAAACAGTGTCAATGCCAGAGCTGTCAGAAAGTGATGGGATAATGTGGATGTCCTCTCTGGAAGCAAAAGTCAAAGATACAAAAGACAACAAAAAACCTACTGCAGAAAAGCTTGAACGTTTGAGAAGGGAGAAGGTAGGACCACAGCATTCTAGTGTAGCAACTGATTGCTTGTTTTCTGTGGGTGTTGCATCCAGCAGTTGAAGTAGTTTCTCCTGGGAGGAGCATGACTGAGTATGGGGAAAATAACCAGAAGGTGAATTCATATGCATTTAGTTTTATGACAGTTAAAAGTCTAACTAAAGGAAGAGTGTATCTCTTGCCTTTTAGGTAAACCGTTTCAGAAATCAGCACAGGATTAACGTTCAAGGAACAGATCTTCCTGACCCAATTGCCACGTTTGATCAACTTCAGAAGGAATACAAAGTCCACCCCAAAATCATTGAGAATATTCAAGCTGCTGGCTTCCAGGTTCCAACGCCAATCCAGATGCAAGCCATTCCAGTCATGCTTCATGTAAGTCTAACAGAATCATATATTATTTTAGGGTGCATGGCAAAATTTGGAGAGAGGTGTCTCTTTTTAGAGTCCTGTCATTGGTCAGTTGCACAGCTTTAGAAATATCAAAGGTGTCACATTTCAAAATGCAGCTATGACAGATTTTTGATCTGTGCTTTCACTAATGTGCTCGGGATTAGTTTCAGAGTTTAGTTGTTGTTGTTTGTTTTCTGC